CTGCAGGCCGTGCGCGGAGGCAGCGGGCAGACTGGAGCCTTTCGGGGCCGCGCGTCGTCTTATCACCTCGTAGGGACCGTCACCTTCTGCCAGGCTGCCTGTGAGACTGTTGGAGGCTGTCGGGCGTCCCTTACGAGCCACGCTCCCGGCCTGCGCTTCAGGCTCCCAAGCCCCGTAAATATTTTTCACCCGGTATACCTTAGTTCCGGGCTCATCAAGGCTTTTGGGAGCCTAAGCTCTACTGAGGTGCAGCTCCGGTAAGGTGGAAGTTTGGTTAAGTGTGCTGGTCGGAGGGTGGACAGCAGCGTGCAGCACTGATAACGTCTCAGGAGTTGGTCTCTACACTGCTCATGTGGCCTCGTGGCGTGTTGCGGTCAAGCAGGCATAGTGTGGCTGAGGAAAAAGCTTGTGTTCCCAAGTTCAAATTCAGGTTTAATCACGAGACCTTGAACAAGTCTAGTAATGCAAATTTAATTGAAAAGGGTAAGGTTCCAGTTATATCCACCTCAGCAATCTTGTCTTAAGTAAGCTAATTTCTCCTAAGTAATGTGTGTGACTGTCTTAACAACCTTTTGGAGAGCAACATGAGAAATCCTACAGGCTGAGCAAAAGTATTTATAGCAATTTTGTGATTCTTTCTTGTAAATTCTTTCTTAAGCAAATTCTTCTGGAAATATTTCCTTCCTTCAAAATGTGTATTGATACACTATTAAAATTGATAGCAGGCCATCCAATAAACACGTATCACTTTTAAGCAAAAAATGCTTGAATCTCCTCCATATACATCTGTTGGTTTGGCCTGTTTCCTTCCTTTTGCCACCCTGACTTCGTTCCTTTAGTGTGTTTATCACAACATAGCTCAGATTTACTGTCAACATTTGTATGCAGGATCAGGACCCAGGTTTAAAGACAGCACCTTCAAGGTCACATTAGCTAAATTAATGTTAGGGAAGATTGTAACTGTGCAACACATCAGTTTACTGTAGAATAAGTTTTGTAAATAGCCTTTAGATTCACAGATTCCCCAGAAAGCTATTGTATGTAGCTGCTTGGATTGGCAACTAAGTTTCAGTGATTGTAAGAGTAAATGCTTTTATTTTCTTTAGACAGTTATTTTATTCATGTAATTTTGACATACGCAGCCCAAACTGATTGTACAGTTAGAACTTCAGCTTAGGTGGCCCGCAAGTATTTGTTGCTGTCTTGTGTCAGATTAGTTTTCTGTTAGACACCTACACAGATAGCTTGTGGTGGGGGATATGCCTGAAATTTTTCACTGTTCATGTTACTGCTTATATACAACAAATAAAAATTAAAATTTATGTGTTTCTGTTTAATTATATTAAGTTGATTTAATAATATTGCAGTTATGCTTAACTGACTTTAAAATAGGCCGCTAGGTTGAAATAAGCCTGTCCTTTATTTCTGTGGAGTCCTTTCTGACTTCGTTACACAGTAAATTACTCTCATCATAATACAATTTAGAAATATGTTTTTAGTTAACTTTGCTGTTTGCGATAATGGGGAAGAGAGTGAAGGGGGATTCCAGACAAGTGAAAACCCAGTGTGAGAAGTATTGCAGATTGGTAGTTTCACAAAATCAGCTTGGGTCTGGTACTGCATCTGAGGAAGAAAAATGTCTTACAACGTCATGTGCTTGAGAAGGCAGAGCAGAGAGACCAGAGCTGTTCTGCAGAAGCCAGAGTGCTCCTGGCAGTGCTCTGTCTAAGCCAGTACTGACTCTGCTGATCCTCCTGGCTCTGGGTTCCCTGGCTCAGGCTGTTGTCTGCATGAGAAGAGGTGTTGTGCCAAGCAGTCCTGGAAGCAGGCGGAGCCAAGTCATTGCATAGCTGCCTGTGAGCTAACAGGATTTTGGAGTCTGCCTGGCTCTGCTGAGCGTTAGCTTTACCAGGTCTGAACAGCAGTGCTGCTCACAACCTGCTGGTGAGTGTGCAGAAGCGTCCTGTGCAGCTGTACAAACCTTATTTTGTATTCCAGAGCATTAAACCAATTGGTTCTTATTACTTGTGTTACATAAACTGATCAGCATGGGAGGAGGGAAGAGGGAATGAAAGCTCCAATATGCTCTTTTCCTGTATTATTTAAGGGAGAGTCTGCACGGAGCCTGACAGCTTTTTGCTTTGCTTTTCAGGTGTGTGCAGTGATGAATTTAGCATCTTACGCTCCCCTCAGTCGGTTGTGTTCCGCGCGGGCAGCTGGCCCATTCCTGGCGAGCGGATCCCCGATGTCGCTGCCTTATCCATGGGCTTCTCTGTTGAAGAAGTATGTTCGGAGTCTTGATTTTTGAAATGCCCCTAAAGCTACAGAGCTGCTCACTTGACTTGCCGATCTTGTCGTGTGCTGGAATATAGAAAATATCATCCTGTTTGCCTTGAGGGGCATGTGACTTGTCAGAGGGTGGTTTCCATGTCAGTCATATGAGCAGCAAAGGGCTGTGCCATCTGGCTAATTTGAATCATCAGCTATAGAAGGAAGCAAGTGCGTGGAGTCCTTACTGTGATGTTTCTCAGTTCCTCTGAGACCCAACTACATGCTGTATCCTCCCATCCATGGTCACATACTGAGAATCTGTGGAAACCACTGTCATTTATTGCCTACGAGCTATCTGTAGGGCTCTGCTCTTTAAACATTGTGAGAAGTAGCTTGGCTAAGGCAAGGCCTTTTGTCAGGTCAGCAAGCTTGTCTGGGTGACGTAGTTATAGTTAGTAAGAACAAGTAAACTAGATACTTAGGAAGTAAGCTGAAGACTTGGAAACCTAGTTTGTGGTGGGTTTTTGAATACAGTTTTAGTGATGTCTAAAGTGGAGCACAAGTAGGAGTCCTTGGATTGATTCCATTTTGCCTACTAATTTTTTTTCTGGGTTTCAGCAGGGGTGAGGGGCTGCTGAAAAAGTATGTGAAAAGTGTCTCTAACAGTGTCTGTGTGCAGCCAGGTACTCAAAGCTACAAGCTGGGATATTCTTGCAGTGGTGGTGACTTTTTGACTTTTTTGACTTTTGGCATACTGATCATCTGGAGGTATGATGTGGTTACCATGGGAAGAAAAGCATTTCAGTGCTTACTCCATGCCTTTGCCAGAGCTTGGAATTCATTTGCTGTGATGGTTTTCTAGCATCCTTTAGAAATAGTTCCCTATTAGCATTATTTCAAATCCCAGAAGCAGGCAGGGAAAGAAGTGTTTGAGTTACTCTGTTCAGTTAAGCCCTGAAACTGGAGGTTATCACCATATAGGCAGCTTCTAGCCCTGGTATGGGGAACACTGCAGGGCCCAAACACTCATTTCACACTTTCTGTGAAAGCTATAATCTAAAACCATAAACTGACTGTGCAGTAGGTGTACTGTAGATAATTTAGAATTCTTAATGCATTACACTGAGGATTCTCAAAAGCATTCCTCCCCTGTTAAGACAAAATGACACCAAGCCCTTTTTTTTTTTTTTTTTTTTGTCCCTGATGATGCTTTAGAAGTTTTTTTCTTATGTTTCTTTGAAGTCATGCAGAACATAATGCCAAGGTTGTTTAATTTAAAATCCAAATAAATAGGTTTCTTAAAACTTAAACAAGCAGATTGTCTTTTACATAAATGGAAAAATCTGTTTGAATGCTTTCCAAATAAATGAATTTGTATTTTGTGCCTGAATAAATGAACCATGTAGCCTTCACTGTCCTCTTACATCCACATAACTGTAGTAAACTGCTAAGGAATCTTTTTATGTTTATATGCAAGTTTTTAAGTTTTAGATTAGTAGGCCACTGTTATGATTGCCACTTTTCTTCCTTCCCCCCCCCCATTATTTTCAGCTACTGAAAATATCAGGGTGTTAGTGTTTTAATATGCCTAAACCTGTTTCTGTGGTGTTTTGCAAAAGGGTTTGTTCTAGTTTTGGTTTGGTTGGTAGTTTTGGGTGATATTTTTGTTTTGTTATGTTAATTCAGCCTTCATTTATTACATACAGATTATAATATTTCTAATTTAATTATAGGAAATAACTTTTTATATAGCCAGTATGTATAACTCTTTGTAGTGTAAACTTTGCTATGAAGTTATCAGCAGCTTTTAAATACAACAGTTTCCTCATGGTTAGCTTCAGACAATATTATTCAAGAAGAAAACATTCTAGTGTAGCTTTCTTCTGCATGAAATTTCCAGTAGGCTGTACTGCAGAGGTATTAGGAAGATAGTAAGTTATTTTGCTGCAATGGTGGGGAAGGACTCCTCTCTTTTTTTCCCTGTGAAATACAAGGTGTTTTTACTGTTTTGTAATAGGACCTTTCCTGGCCTGGGCTTGCAGTGGGTGATCTGTTTCACAGACCACGAGCTACTGTGCTGGTAACAGTGAAAGGAGTAGACAAGCTGATGTTGCCTGTGAAAGGGATTTCTTACCCTATTGAGAATGTGAGTATCCATGTTTGCAACCTGTGTGTGATTTGGGAGCCTCTTGTGATCTCATGAGAAGTACATGACTCTGCTGGAGCCCTTGATGTTCACTTATTTCTTACTTCCCTTGAAGGTCACATACCTTTGCTTAGAAGATGGATCTATAGATGGCTGTGTAGATAAATAATCCAGTCAGATCCTGCACAGGGTCAGAGGCCTTTAAGGTCATTCAGGGCCTCTTGTGTTGAGTTCAGTAACTTGCTTGACCCAAGCATGGTCTCCTTGAAAGGCATCTAGTTTTAATATGTTTGTACCAAGAGACAGAGAATCTGTTGCTTCCCATGTTAAATTACTGATTCATAGTCAGGATCATTAACAACTTCTTTTTTTTTCCCCTTTCCTTCAGCTGAGTGTGTGTCAGCATTTTGTATCATGTTGATTCTTTGATGTATTTTATCTCCCTCTAAACAGTCTTCAGGTTTTCCTCAAGTACCTGACTGTGAATTATACTGTATCAAAAAGAAAACCACAAACAACACTACATTTACCTGTTGCTGTCTCTTTGCTGAGACTCTTTTCTCACACTTGTCACAGTATTAGAGAATGATTTAGGTTTGAAGTCTTGAAATCCTCTGGTCCAACCCCCTGGACAAGCAGGGTCAGCTGGAGCAGGCTGTCCAGAACTATGACCCATCAGGTTTTGATACCTCCACAAATGGAGACTCCGCAGCCTCTATGGGAAGCCTCATACAGTGAAACAGTTTTCTGGTGTTCAGGTGGAACTTCCCATTTTTAAGTTTATGCCCATTGCCTCTTCTCTGTTATATGATTTTACCACACACTTCGTTGTTAACTTACACGTTATTGGTAACTGCACAGTGTCTGCTCACTTCTCCTTTGTAAATGCATTGTGTGTTCTAATCCATTCAATGCAGTATTGGACCAGTTCTTCATTTTGAGCTGTTACTCGTCCAGCGTGAAGCCACACCACCTTTTCAAATAAGTTGTGTTTCAGGTTATTTCTAGTTAGTTAATTCTGCTTCTGCCTATCTTGGAAGACTGTTTCACAGCAATTTACCATGTGTTTTGGCTCTGTGTGGCTGCTGTGCTCCTGTTAAGAGAATGGTAAATAGTAATTCTTAATTCAAACTGTGGAATCATCAGTGACGATGTTGAGTAGTGGAGTTTTTAAATACTGACGCTCTGTTGCACACCCCAAGATGAGGTGATGATTTCACTATGAAATTATTTTTACAGCTATCATAGTCCTTTTAATCTAATTTAATGTTATTTGGCTTTACACTGAACTTGGGTAACATTCAGCTTCACACAGATCTGCTTTCACACACAGCTCACTGGTTTGGGCACAGATATGTGCTGCCAGCACGGAGATGGAATCTGGACCAAAACTGGAGGGTTGTCTGCACCTGACTGTGTAGGATTTGCTAACTTGTGGAAACCTCAAATGTAGTCATATTTGCACTTGTAACTTTGACATTCTGATGTGTACATAATGCATGTTTTCTTTATTTCCCATTCATAAGCTCTGATTATTTCAATTAACTACTGCCATAGCTTCAGATGAGGTGTCCCAGGTGTCTCCTGTCAAAAGTACTGGTTCTCCAATATTCAAGAATAGTTTCAAATGATCACAACAGAGTCCATGTTCAGGGTTGTTGGATACAAATTATCCTAACCTACTTATTTACTAAAATTAATTAGAAAAAGTATTTTTATGCTGTTTAGTGAATGGAAATGTGCTGTTCTGGTTCTTTGTAGATGAACCCAGAGTTAAGCATTTAGAAAAACTAACAGTTTTATTGGCTTGCCAGTAATGGCACTATACTGTGCTAGGATTTCTTTTATTCTTATATTTTTTTTTAATATGGCTTTTTTCTTTCATGTTTCAGCTGCTGGCCTTTCTACTGGTATATTTTCATTCATCAGTTCTCTGTGGTTCATAACTTTCCATTTGGACTAGGATTGGTTTACCCTTTTCATTGCCGCAGTGTTTGTTGATCTGGCTTTACTGGTAGAGAAGGCTCTACTCTTAGCTTAAGTAAGCCTCTTAGTTACACAGTCATGGCCCCTTGGAGTTCTTAAAAATATACTGTATTTGCCACATATACAACTAAATGGTCTGTTCATAGATAACACAGTTGATGTTTTGCACATTAGCTCCTATTGCTTATTGTCACTTTGGAAACATTCACACTCTTTGCTCAAGAAGAGGTTGTCTTATTTTTCCAGACTTCTGTAGATAAGCAAATTATCCCCTTTTACATTGTTAGGCCGTTTTAACCAAAACTCTTAACTACACTTTGTCTTCCAGGCTGTTCCTTTCAGTCTTGACAGTGTTGCGAATGCAATTCATACTTTGTTCTCTGAGGAAACTCCTGTGGTCCTGCAGCTGGCCCCCAGTGAGGAGGTGAGTACTGCCTCAGTTCTGATTCCAGATGTTCTAGATAGTAAAATTCTATCCACTTGTGTGGCTGGAGCAAACTGAGTTGATGATATGAAGTATTTTTTGTTGGGAGAGATTGCAAGTATGATTGGTTAATGATGTGGGACTGCAAGCTGCCCTGTGCTGCTGTTGAACAGTGGCTGTCCCTGCAGAGAGTGTACATGGTGGGCAAGGCAAACTCTGTGTTTGAAGATCTTTCCGTCACACTGCGCCAGCTGCGGAACCGCTTGTTCCAGGACAACTCTATTCTCAGCTCCCTTCCTCTCAACTCTCTCAGCAGAAACAATGAGGTAAAAAAACTTTAACTGATGGAGGCTCTTATGATATTTTTTTTCCCCCTAAATTTTTTTAATTAGCTTATGTTTTTACTTTTCCTTTTTTCCTTTTTTTTCCTAATGAGTTCTAAGTTGTAACTTTTAAGTTCTTCTTTGAAGTAACTTTACTGAAAGAGTAATTTCCTTCTATCATGTTCTGATGCTGTAACAAAAGATTAACATAACCTATTAGAAAATACTGAGACTTGCAAGAAAATGAGACTTCTCTAACTTTGTTTTCATCTAAGAAAATAACTGTCTTTCTTCCTCCCTCTTTCGCCAGGTTGACTTGCTTTTTCTGTCAGAACTACAAGTCCTACATGATATTGCAAGCTTGGTAAGATTATTATTTTTTAAACACTTTCCCCATCCTGCATCGCAAACTTCAGAGATCTCCTTTAAAGGTAGAGAAGCTGTAGGCAGGCTGCTTGGAAACCAGTGATAAATATATTCAAGTGTGTCATCAGTTGGTTGCATCCGTTTAAATAATGCATTCTCAAGCTATTTGAATCAACCTTATCACTGGCAGAAGAAAATGAAAACCTTAATCATCTGTAGTTTGTTTTGTATTGTGAGAATGGGGAATTCTGAGCTGCTATTTCTGCATTCCCAAAGACACAAAGAACTTCAGGAAGAATTTGCCAGGGCTTTCCTTGTTTTCTTGCTTGAGAAGTATAATGCTAGTGAAGAATGTGTTGTCTACCATTTTACTTCAGAATATCACCATAACATTTGATCTGAAAAGACTGGAGTGACTTTTGTAGTGTGAATAGTAGTGGTGATAGAAATGTTCCAGTGGAAGGGTGAGCTTTTAATTCAGATATTTTAAGCAAAAAGCTTCTTATGATCTTTTTCATAAGAAGCTACTGTCTTGTTGCTGTGGGTTTTTTTGTTGTGTTTGTTTGTTTGTTTGTTTGTTTGGTTTTTTTTTTAATTGTTTTGTTTGTTTTGTTTGTTTTCCTTTAAGCTGCAGCCCTCAGCTACTTAAAGTAAAAGACAGTCATGAAAAACTTTGAGGTTCACATTAGATGACGGTCTGGTGAAGAGAAATGAGGCTTTTGAGTAAATGAGGTAGAACAGCTTGGTTTTGCCTTGCAGACTAGAAATGCCATAGTTAAAGTAGAAGGGAAGATAGGAACAGATTAAATTACTTGCTTTCTGAGCCTGTTCTCTTGTGCAGGCAAATGTCGGTGCTGGAGCTTCACACCTGTAGAAGTGCAACAATATCACTAATCTCCTTTGAGATAATTTGGATTATATAGGTTGGATTTTATGACAATGGGATGATATTCCTTAAGTAAGCTGCTTCTGTACGTGGGCAACAGCAAGGTAGAAGTTGCAACCTACTCAGTTTTGCCAGGGCCACCTTCAGTGGAGGGAGTAGTGGTGTCCAGGTATCGTAGCTGCATGTTTGTTTTGGTGTTTTTTTCCCTCCAAGTTTTATTTTTATGGCAATTACAGAACAAGGATTCTGATGTGAATAAGTAAAATGTTTATTTTTACTGGAGCTCTATATTACTTATATATAACCTTGAGTTAGGCGTAGATGACACATGATGATCGTCTGCCTTCTTCTGTAGAGTAACAAAAGAAACAGTTGTGAACATCTTGTTAAGCTGGCAAGAATTCTGCTTCCTAATAATATGGAATACGACTGTGAAACATGAGGCTAGAGTAGGTCCAGCAAACTGATTTCATGAAATGTGTTTTTTAAAGTAACCTGTGTATGAATTAATTTTCTTTCTGCCTTCAATGGTGTGCCAAAGCTGTCTCGACACAAGCACTTAGCCAAAGATCATTCTCCAGACCTGTATTCTCTGGAACTGTCTGGTTTGGAAGAGGTTGGAAAGCGGTATGGGGAAGACTCTCAGCAGTTCAAGGACGCTTCCCAAATTCTTGTAGACTCTTTGCAAAAGGTATACTTTCTACCTAATGAACAAAACTTACAAGAGTACTAAGGAAATAATTAACTACAAGAGAGTTAGACTGTCTTCGGCTTTAAGTTGTTGCTTCATTAGGGGTTCCTTGACTAGGGCTTGGTTTTGTTTGGTTTTTGAAATATAGTTATTCCGTTATAAAACCAAATGCCAAAATTTGTCACTCTGGAATGTGTTGACATGATTCTACAACATATTAGACACCTTGTGTAAAGGAGTAGGAATATCTTGAAGCCACATTATCAGTGTGACTTGATATGTTTGTTTTTCCTCAGTAAGTTACCTTATGTATAAAACTACCAGTATGTCTCACAAAAACTGGCTCTCAGAAATGTGGAAATATCTTTTATCCCATGGTGCAGTGGTTAGTCTCCCCTTGCCCAAAGTGCTGTATAAATCTAAATTTCCAAGCCTCTAAAATAACTGATGTTCATCTATCAATGTGCTCAAGAAAATAATTATTTCAGTCGTACGTAATCATTAGATAAAGTCTTCAGTATAAAGACCAGTCACTTCTGAGAGTTTCAAAAGCATGATGGAAAAATGTAAAAGCATGAATTTGCTAGGTCAAATAATTGTTTTCTCTAAAAATTACTCTTTGGAGTTAAGCAAATGTATTTAAATACTAGAGATATTAGTCTTTGGACCGGATCAAAATATCCAGCTTCATAATTTCCCAGTGGAAGGTTGAAAACCTAAATATTTTGTTGAAACTGGGGGACATACAACTGGGAAAACTATATGATCGTGGGCCTTTTGTAAATTTGATGAAGGAATGAGTTACAGCCCATAAAACAGTCATAAGCTACAGTCTGCTGAACAGTGGTCAAGGTATTTTAAAGAGATGTTCCAAACCAGGTGAAAGTTGGCACTATCTTAGCGCAATTCTAAAATAGTGAAAATTTTTACAATTTTCCATAACCTACTTATTCCTCAGGCTGACATACTACAGTTTAGTATGTATTGCTAACAAAACTCTTCTTAATTCTTGGCTACAGTGTAGGTTTTAAATGAAATCACTTTTGCTTTTCCAGTTTGCAGATGAGATGTTTAATCTGTATAGTGGGAATGCAGTAGTAGAAGTGGTGGCTGTAAAGACTTTTAATTCTCCCCTCACGAGAAAGACTCGCTCCATTCTCCAGTCTTCTTCACAGGTAAGAGGTGCACATTTTTCTACCTATAATTTATTTATTTATATTTATTGAAAGTGATCCAAACTGAATCACTTGAGAGTAACTTTTTTTTTTTTTTTTTTTTAATGACTGGAATACTGACTGTGATTTAGGCATGAGTGCAAAGAGGTCAGCTTGCCTGTCTTGAGCTTCACTTAATCATAGAGTAATTCTAGTTGTAGTGGGTCACTCAAGGTCATGTAGTCCAACCTACTGCTCAAATCAGGTTTAATTTAGGAGTTAGATCAGGCTGCTCTGGTCCTTGTCCAGCCAAGTTTTTGAAAAATCCATGGCTGGAAGTCCTGGACCCTCTCTGGACAGCTTGTTCCGAAGTGTTAACCAGTTTCACTGTGAAAACTTTTTCCCTTATGTCTTGTTAGAATTTGCATTTCTGTCGTTTTCTCCCCGTTACAGCAATGCATGCAAGTCCTGCCTGCTTGGCTGGGGAAAATATTGTTTTCCTTGACTTGCTGCCTACGTTGCAGATGCAGCTCAGGATGCAGTTGCCCTTTGTCACTGAAGGGGCACACTGCTGACTCCTGTTCACCTTGTCCACCAGGACCTCTGGCTCTCTCTCTGCAGAGCCTGCGCTGTCACGTGAGGTTACTTGGTCCCAGGTGCAGGGCTTGGCATCATCCTGGCTGGATGTCCTGAAAATGCATCTCTCCTGTTCAGATGGCTCGGGTTTTTGATGTAGTCAGGATGTGTTTTCTATGCAAGCTAACTTTAATACTTTTTTTATTACAGAGTGAAACAGAAAATCCCTATAACCTTGCCTATCCATATAACTACAACTACTCTGTAATCTTCAACATTATTCTGTGGATGATGATAGGTCTTGCTTTAGCTGTGATAGTCATCTCCTACAACCTCTGGAACATGGATCCTGGGTATGACAGCATTATTTATAGGATGACAAATCAGAAGATAAGAATGGATTGAACTGCACTGTAATTCAGCACAAGGAAGTGATGAAGAGTAGATTTTCTGAAGGAGAGAAGATGTTTCTCCTTTAAACTACGTGGAAAACATACTCTGACATGGTTAATTGTGGATTTTTTTTAAAGGTGTATTTATTTCTAAGTATTTTTTCCCCTTTCAAACCTATTTTAAATGTTAGTAGTAGCACCAGATGAGATTTAGAAATTGAAATCTGCTTGTTCAAAAAAAAAAAAAAATCAATCCCCTAAGTAACTGTTAAGTGACATCATTCCATTTTTTTTATAATGCAACATGAGTTTTTGAAATGCCCTGTATTGCCTGTGACTGTGTGCAAAGCAGATAAATTGAAATAGATAGCAACATGTTGTTTGAAACTTTTACACTGGAAGATTAGAAATTATAGCTAAACAGTTGTGTTGTACATTATGAACCAGTTGTAAATGTTTGATGTAAATATTTCTAATGGCTATATGTAACTTCAGAGAGGATAGTAATTATTCTTTAGTAAAATATCAAATATAGGAATATTTCTACAAGACTACAATTCTAGTGGCACAAATGGCATTTTGAGCTTGTGTTGATGGCTCAGATGTGAGCTGTAGGAAGAAGGATCCTTTACCTAAAACTTTAATGATTTGGAGGTAAATGACACTAGTGTGGCTGATCTATACAGTGGAGAGTCTATAAATATTGAAGTAGCGCCAATCTGATCATGGTGTCATGTCATGTACAGTTCAAAGTTCCTATTATGATGCTTCATATTCCTTCCATTTGTGTTGATGTTATTAAAAATCAATTCTTTTTGATAAGAGTGGACCAACACTTGATTTAAATATACCTGGATTATAGTCCTGCTTCAGCCATTCAATAAAACAAAGAACGGTCGTTCCTGAATGCATTTATTCTTTGTGGCTCCATGGGTGTGACTGCTTCTAGTTAGTGTTAGCTCAGCTGAGCAAGCTGCTGGCAGCCTCCTGTATGTGACCCTTGGCATAAGCCTGTAACAGTTGAGTTTTAATTGTCTTTCAAAAGCAAATTAAGATCACGTTGTATGGATTAATTTTCCTGAATCAAATAGTGCAGTTAAAACAAATGGCTAATTGCTGGCTTGAGTCTTTTTTAGAACTACATCCTTTTTGGAGACTCATTTGCTCTTATAGACTCTTCCAGACTACAGCAACCTGAATGGGGAGTAGTTTTTTCACCTTGTTGTCCTCTAATGTGCTTAACTTTCCCTAAATTTCCCTACTGTTAGGAGAGCTTAGTTCCACTTCCAGAAAAGATCTGCTCATTGAATTAATCCCATTTACTGGGAATGTCAGATTTGGAGGGGTTGAAGGTGTTTGCATTTTGGAGACCTGGAGGGTGCTTCATCTTGCAGCTTTGCCCAAGTCCAGGAAATCCAGTTTAGTGTAAGTTACAATTATTTGAAGTTACTTATAATGGCATTTAAAGTTAATCTGGGTGATTAAGATCAATAGATAGAAAGGAGGAGTTGCCCTGCCAGTTTCTCTGACAAGAATGTGTAGTCTCATTATTGAACATTCTTGTGGTGTTTCGATGAGAAATCCATCTGATGAAGCTGTTTGACTTCATTACTAAAACAATTAAAAGAAATATCTACCTTTCTGTTTGATAGGCAAGAACCCTAAGTTTTTGCATAACCTGTAATGTGATAGTATTGTCTTGGTTTGGGGTAGAACAGGGCTGGTTCTGTTCTATGATTTAACTTTTCAGCTAAAGCTTTCCTATGTATCACTTAATATGGAAGATAATACCCCAGAACTGCAGCAGGAAGCATGATCTAGGGTGAGAAAGGGGGTTGTACATTAACAGTAGAATCTTTCCAACTAAACTATATGTCAAAAAAGTGATGTGTGTGGCAGGAGGAAGAATGACCACTGTCAGGTTAATGTTGGATTGCAGGGGCCAGTTGGCAGTGAAGGGTTAGCAAACACAAAGGTAAGTGCTCTGGGAGTATTTAGAAGCTTACACTGTTTTCAGCTGTCTTGGTCATGAAACAGTTGACATAGAGTTAGCCACTTTATGGGATTCTGCTTGTCTTAAAGGCTACTAAGAGATTTTAAATGTTAAAATGCTCTTTAAAGGACAATGCCACGGTAGGCTCTCTGATATTTCAGATCACTCTTTGATATTTTTAAGTACTGATTTACACTCATTAAGTCCTTTTTCTGTTAATTTCCTTTGTTCTTAAGGAGATGCTTAAGCTTGATTTCTGAGACTGAGTCTGTGAACTTTCTGGTCCACTGCAACACCCTTGCTATTAGGTACAGTGATCACAGATGTGCTAAGGTCACCCTAGGTATGACTAGAAATGAGAAGTCCACCTCTGCCACAAGAGTAAAGCTGCCATAATTGATTTAAAGTAAATGACAGACTTACTGTGACACACTTTTCCTGAAGAACCTCTCAAAGAGGTTCTGTCATATGGAAGAACAGTATCTCTGGGGTAAAATATGCTACGTTGTGATTCTGACAGGCCAAGCACTGCAGTATCAGAAAGTTTGAGGGACCTCACCTACTTTTATCAGCCATAAGTAACTTAAATTGCAGCTTTGTAGAGAGTGTTTCAGGGGTGTATTGGGCACTGATTTGAAGTTTCCCTGTTGCTCTCCATTGTTTCTACAATAATGCTTACCCTTGTAATCTTAAGATTTATTTCATATACTCTTCATGCACTGATGCAATCATATACTTCATCTTGTATTTATTTCCATCACCACTGTTTTTTAAGGTTGGGACTTTAGTTTGCATTTATTATGCAAAGTAAAAAATGCTTCTTCCCTGCCAAAATATTTAAACCTGGAGACTGAAAAATATTCCAATGTTTTCCATTCACATATCCAAGTAATGGCTATTGAATGTTAACAGGTATTTGTAGAAGTTACTCCAATAGAGCTGTGGTTTTCCACCTCTACTGTTCATCTGTCCTGCAGTTTCATGCTCAAAGATGCCAGAGTAGATTATCTATTAAAGCCTAACTTTCCTTTGCTACCTATATCTATTCATTTCCACTTAGATCAGAACTTGTTCCATCAAAAAGCATTATCTTTTAAGGAGGAGAAAAAAGAAAGCAAAAGGATAAAACATGCTGCATATCTGTTATCTAGCACTAGCACTTCCAATGCTTTTTCAAGGTTAGGCTGTCTTTCATTTTAAAGTGAAAATTAGTTGTGCTATAGACTTTTTGGTAAGGAGTTACTTCAACTTGAGCTTCTTACTGGTCTGTATTGAATAAATGCACTCCTAGTTTACTTGATGCAGAGGTTTGATCAGATGAATATTCTACTTTATATTCTGCTGCAAAGTTTTACAGGAGCTAGTTGTTTAAAGTGACTCTGTTGTGTATTGTCTTTAGTATCTGTGTGCCAGGTCCACCTAAGTAGCTGTATTCTAATCGGCTGGCAGTATAGTTTGTTTAAAGGCAGGACCTGCCATTGACCGTGGTCGTTCTGTCAGCTCCATTCCAGCTCTTTACTGCTGCCGTAGGCTCTCATTTTACTTTTTAAAGCAAATCTTAGACTACTTCAAAGGGCATATTTGAATTGCCAGTTCGTGTTAGTTCCACATTTGTTCATTTCCATGGCCACAGGTCCCCAGCTGGTACTAAAGGTGCTTTTGAGGACTCTAATGTGTGCTGTTTCTTAAGTACCAGTTGCTCTGTGGAGCACAAGCTACTTTATGAACCTGTGCTTAGTTTGAGCTAGGTAGCTGTCAGGGAGGCACCCACAAAACGGATGGCAGCAAAATGTGGATTTATTGTAATCAAAATTACTTGGCACTCCTTCTGACAAAGTTAAATGACAGGTCTGGATGCCAGTCAGAAATATACCACCACACAACTAATTAATAAACTTCAGAGAATATTCTTTCTAGAAGGATGAACTAAAATGTGTGTATGGTCACTCAAAGGGAAACCTCCCACACAAGTGTACCCAGGAAGGTATCACTTGCCCAAAATGGGAGGTGAGGCTCACTCAGTCATAGAATCATAGAATGGTTCGGTTTGGAAGGGACCTTAAAGACCATCTAGTTCCAACCCCCTGCCATTGGTAAGGACACCTCCCGCTAGACCAGGTTGTGCAAGGCCCCATCCAACCAGGTCTTAAACAGATCCAGTGCTGGAGCATCCACTTCTCTGAGCAACCTGTTCCAGCACCTCACCACCTTCAGTGAAGAACTTCTTCCTTACATTTAACCTAAGTCTACCCTCTTCCAGTTTGAACCTGTTACCCCTCATTCTATCACTACAGGACCTTGTAAGAAGCCCCTCCCCAGCTTTCTTATAGGCTCCCTTTATGTAGTGAAAGGCTGATACAATGTCTTCTCAGAGCCTTCTCTTCTCCAGCCTGAACAACCTCAGTTCTCTCAGCCTGTCCTCCTAGGAGAGGTTTTCCAATCCTCTGATCATCTTCATGGCTCTCTGGACCTACTCCAGCAGGCCCATGTCCTTCCTGTGTTGGGTGCTCCAGAGCTGGATGCAGTTCTCCAGTCCACAGAAGTATCCTTGTATGGGGTCCTGTATATCCAAGGGGAGGGTTCATGGCTGAAAAGCCTGCTTGTTCTGAGAAGAACCAGCTCAAAAATGGTCTCTCTCTCAGGGCTTCATTTATACCCTAGCTGAGTGTGCCCTATGAGTGTTCTAATCAGTTGGGGTCAGGTCCATAACAAAGACAGATTAAGGGCCTGGGCCCTGAGATGCTGGTTAATCACTATGAGGTGGTGTTTAATGGCTTTGAGGCACCAAACCCACCTCTGTCAGGTCTTTGGCAAGCCCTGAGTTTTGTCAGCTTTCTGTCAGGGAGACTAGACCTGCCACAATAAGTAAGACATACTATCTTGTACAACAGTACTCATCCTTAACTGCCAATGAAATAGGCAATTAAAATACTGATCCCTGAGCCAGGAGTAGCCTTTTTATACTTAGAAACTAAGTGCTAGAGTGAAGCCACTGTCAACACCGTTAGACCTGCTATTGA